CTGGTGTCTGAGGAGCAGCAGGCAGCCCCCCCAGCTCCTGTGTCTCCCCACAGGCACTGCCTACGTGCTGACATGTTACTTCACCAACTGGGCCCAGTACAGGCCTGGCCTGGGCAAATACACCCCCGAAAATGTCGACCCCTGCCTGTGCAACCACCTGATCTATGCCTTTGCCGGGATGAACAACAACGAGATCACCACTTATGAATGGAACGACGAGACCCTCTACAAATCCTTCAACGGCCTGAAGAACCAGTATGTGCTGGGAGCAGAGGGCAGGGCTTGTTCTCCCTCTCCCCGTTGTTCACCCTCTGCTCTCTGCACAGCCCTGGGCAAGGGATGCTGAGAGAGAAGGCAGAGACTGGCAGGGCAGGGCAGGGTGACAGCCCCACTCCTCTGACCACAGTGACAGTGGCTCAGGGTACTGTGGACTTGCAGTAACTCTGGTACCTGTCCTTCCTTTGCAGGAACAAGGATCTGAAGACACTCCTGGCCATTGGAGGATGGAATTTTGGCACAGCTAAGTAAGTTCAAACCATGTCCTGCCCATAAAAGCACCCTGGAAAGGGAAGGAGAGGAGGAAGATGCTCCAAACAAAGCCCAATGCTCTCCTGCTCTGCTTGCCCAGGTTCACTACAATGGTTTCCTCTGCTGAGAACCGGCAGACCTTCATCAAGTCTGTCATCAAATTCCTGCGCCAGTACCAGTTTGATGGGCTGGACCTGGACTGGGAATACCCCGGCTCCAGGGGCAGCCCAGCCCAGGACAAGGGGCTCTTCACCGTCCTGGTTAAGGTGAGTTTTGCTCTGCTCAGCACAGCTCTGTGCCCAGAGCCCTGGGCAGATGTAAAGTCTGAGCCCTGTTCCTTGGCATCCCTCAGGAATTGCTGGCAGCCTTTGAGCAGGAAGCCAAACAGACCAACCAGCCCCGTCTCCTGGTCACCGCGGCTGTGGCTGGAGGACTTTCCACCATCCAGGCCGGCTACGAGATTGCTGAGCTGGGCAAGTGAGTAGCAAAGCCTGGGATCACTTGTGGGACTGGGTTGTCTCCCTGCAAGCGCTGCAGTCAAAGCTGCAAAGAGCCCCTGAAGGACCCAGATGTGAAGGAAGTGGGGCCGTGGCTGGGCTGGGACAGGGGGTGACCGGCCAGCGCTGGAGGAACCGTCAGCTCTGGTGCCTGAGCGGGTCAGGGCACAGCCAATGCTCTCCACAGGTACCTGGACTACATCCACGTGATGACCTACGACTTCCACGGCTCCTGGGAGAAAAACACTGGCGAGAACAGCCCCCTGTTCACAGGCCCAGCTGACACTGGGGACTACAAGTACTTCAATGTCGTAAGTGTTTGTGAGACAGAACCCCAGGTCTCAGCTCTGTGATTGCACCAGTGAGGAGATATTGAGGAATTCATCATCCTGCCTGCAAACCCGGGCAAAGACTTCAACAGGAGTGTTTTCTTACAGGAATACGCTATGAATTACTGGAAGGACAATGGTGCCCCAGCTGAGAAGCTCCTGGTTGGCTTCCCAACCTATGGAAAAAGCTTCACCCTGCAAAACCCATCTGACACCTCTGTTGGGGCTCCAGCATCAGGCCCTGGACCAGCTGGACCTTACACCAGGGAGGCTGGGACACTGGCTTACTATGAGGTATGTCTGTCTGATCACATTCCTTGTTCAAATCATTTGAAGGAATGTATAAGGAAGGCACCCATGGGGCTTTCTGAATGGCTGCCTCAGACACAAAACTGTCCATAGAATTGCTAAGAAAAAGATACTTATTTTCAGGGACCAGACAAATGACACAAAACTAGAGAATAAAGTCCTGACAATGGCAGAGCCTAGACTTTTCCCTTTTTGAAATTAACATTCCACCTCTTGGTGCTTCTCCCTAGATCTGCTCTCTCCTGAGCTCTGGAGCCACTCAGGCTTGGGATGAACCCCAGGACGTGCCCTATGCCTACAAGGAGAGCGAATGGGTTGGCTATGACAACACGAAGAGCTTCAGCATCAAGGTCTGGTGGGACGTGGGGCTGTGCTGGGAAGGAGGCAGGAGGCTCCTGCAGGAGCAGCTCCCGGGGCTGATCGGGATTTCTTCCTGGCCCCAAACAGGTCGACTGGCTGAAGAAGAATAACTTTGGAGGGGCCATGGTTTGGGCCCTTGACATGGATGACTTCACTGGCACTTTCTGCAATGAAGGCAAATACCCCCTGATCTCCACCCTGAAGAAGGGCCTCGGTCTGCAGAACGGCGGTGAGTGCTTTGAGTGCCTGAGCAGCTCCCTGATGGGAACTCCCATGAAGGGAGGGGAGGGATGAGACTGTCAGCACAAAAATAAGCCCTTTCCTGCTTTGTTTGCAGACTGTGTGCCTCCTGCTGAGCCCCTGCCTCCAGTCACTGAGGCTCCCACTACCACCAGTGGAAGCGGGAGCGGTGGCTCTGGTGGGAGCGGCGGCTCTGGTGGGAGCGGCTTCTGCGCCGGCAAAGCCAACGGCATCTACGCAGACCCAGAGAACAACAAGAACTTCTACAACTGCTTGAACGGCCAAACCTTCGTGCAGAGCTGCCAACAGGGTCTCGTCTTCGACCCCGTCTGCTCCTGCTGCAACTGGCCATGAAGTTCCTAATCCTGTTCCAGCCAGCAGACCCCTCTGATCCAACTGTACACAATAATGATAAATAAAGCTTTCTGCAAAAGCGACAATCCTCCCTGTTTTAACTCATCTCGTTCTTGATATTTTGATGTTTCATGATTCTCCCATGGTACCCAAACTTGTGCTCAGGGAAGGGATAGAATCCACAAGCTGGATTTAATTCCCGTATGGCATTTTCCAGGGTTTTCTTGCTGCCCTACCCCAGGGGCCACAGGGGAGCAGAGAGGAGCCAACGGGGCAGAAGGGTCGTGACATCACAACCCTGGGCTGCTTCCCCCGAGCCAGCACAGCACATTCCACAGGGCTGTTACTCACCCTCGGCTCTCCCCTGCACACCACGTGCTGCCGTGGCCTCAGCAGCCCCTGTTCTGCGTCCACAGCAACTGGAGCACACGGGCAGCCCAGCAGGGCAGGATGTCAGCAGGGCAGGAGCCAAGGGGTGAGAGCTGTGCAAGGTGGGGGCACCCGGGGGGGGGACTCTGGGGCTCGAGGCTTTTCTTCTCTCACAGCTCCCCTACTGGGCTGCTCATCACTCCCTGCCTGGGGAAAAAAACAGGCCTTTGTGGCAGGAGGGAACAGGCATCCAAAGGGCAGATCTCCCACAGATTTCCAGGGTCAGGGGAAGCTCCCATCTGGGAGGTGAGGGGGTGGTTGGCCTCAGGCAGAGAGCAGCAGACACTTCAGGTAAAAAAGCAGCACGTGGTCACCTCTATTTTATCTTTTTTTTTTGTTTATCACACTGGTGGCACTTCCCTCTTGGGGTCCCTCAGATGTGCAGAAGAATGTCTCATTTGGGACAACTCAGGAAAGGAAGATGTTCCCCTACTACTACGCCCCAGACAGGCTGGGCATCGAGGTGGCGGCCGTCGGGGGAAACCCGCTGGTTGGACCAGGCTGTTACCTGGGCCAGGAGGTGAGTTGTTAAAGTGTTGTGGTCCTTTGCAGAAGACACAGGACAGGAGCAGTAGGGCCATGGCCAGCCCCACACCCGCCCTGCAAACCCACCGCAGGATGTCTCCACATAAACCTGGAAAAAAAATCCCCTCCCTTCCCAACACACCAGTCCTTATACAGCTCCACAGCAGTGAGAAAACAGGGAAATTAACAGGAGTAGCATCAATAGGAGTAGCATCAATAGGAATAACATCAGTAGGAATAACATCAGTAGGAATAACATCAATAGGAATAACATCAATAGGAATAACATCTGCTGCTCGTGTGCTTCTGCCCTGCAAATAGTGTCTTTGAAATGCCAGTAAGACACTTCTGCTTTTGGATTGCAGACAACCATCCTGCAACCCTCCCTGAGCACCAGACCCATGAGCAGCAAGGGTTACGTGATGGGAGCGAGGACAGGCCCACGCTTCATGCCGAGGAACCGGGTGAGGAGCGGGGACTTCTGAGTTTTTAACACTCTCAGGGCAGCCAAAGTGTTGAAGAGCGGGTCTGTAACACCCAGCTGGCTGCTGCCCTGAGCATGTGGGAATGGTTTGCACAACCAGATGTTCCACACAAATATTTTCCCCCCTGCAGACGGTGACCCCCGGCCCAGCAGCGTACGAGCCCTTCCGGATGGAGAAGAGGAAGTGCCAACCTGCCTATGCCCCATTTTCCTCCAGTACACCACGATTTTCATCCAGGCCTCCAGACAGAGAACTTTTCCCTGGGTAACATAACTCATTTTCTTACAATTTTCACAATAGGCAGAGAGAAATGCTAAGACACGGATGGCAGATAGGAGACTGAGTTCTCAGTGAAGCTTTTTTGTCTTCAAAGAGCTCCCCTGCTTTAGTCTTTAGCTTAGCACCATGGCTAGAACACCACAACATGCATTTCTCCCATGGATCTCCCCCACATTGTTCTGCTGAAAACAAAAACTCACTTAGAACACAGGCTGAAGTTCTCAACACCATCTCACATCTTCCTTTTCTGTGGCACCATCATTGCTGTTAAAGAATAGCTGTATTTTAGATGACCATGAACAGGTCATTGAGGTAAATTCTATATTATAAACATCATACACCAGCTCCAGAATTGAGATATTTTGTGCCTGTTTTCTTTAGGCCTGGAACTTACAACATAGAGCAGCCATTGAACAAAAAAGTCACTTGGCCCATGAGGTTTGGGTCTCCAGACTGGTCTTCAGTGCCTAAGCCACCAAAGAAGATGGTAAAAAGAGAGGTGCAGGAGGTAAGGACAGGGATGAGGGGATGTTATTCCTGGCTCAAGGCTTCTGAGAAAGGAAATTTCCTCGTTACTTTGCACCTGCACTAAGCTTTATTATCCTTTCCTTACCTGCCTGGGGCACAAGATATGAAGTGATTTCCTGTGAGAAAACACCTGTTTGCAAAACCAGCCACAGTCCTTCAAAAAACCCTTCTATTAAGAAATTTCCTCCGGAAGTTTGCCCCCGCAGGGTGAAGCGAAGCAGAGCCTTGACTGCCCCTTTTAGCTCTGCTGGGAGGAAAAACTCACTCAAAACACAGGCTGAGGTTCTCAACACCGTCTCACACCTTCCTTTTCTGAAGTATTGTCTCTGCTGTTAATGCATGGCTGTCTTTCAGATGACCATGGACAAAGAATCCAAAAAGCACCAGGAGCGAGTGGCCTACCTGAAGCTGTACTTTGACTGAGGGGCTGTGCCGTGCCCCCTCCTCTGGAGACACCCACCTGCACCACCAGGCTCAAAGAACCAATAAAACGTCTCAAATGTTTTAAAATCCGAATAAAATCGTCTCAAACAGAGGGATTTGTGGCCGCTGGCTGTCTCGTCTGGGTGTCTCCGGGGCCCTGCTCCCCTCAGCCCTCGCCCAGGGGATGTTGTCTCTGGGTGCAGGTTTGGGCTGGGGGAGAGTTAAAACTTCTTCCCAGTGGCTGCCGTGGGGCTGTGTTTGGGTTTGTGCTGAACACGGGGTTGAGACCACGGTGAGGTTTATTGGTCCTGGGTTTGTTACTGAGTGTGGGTTTATTATTGCCGGGCAGGGCCTACACGGAGCCAAGGCCTTTCCTGCCCCTCGTGCTGCCTCACTAAGGGGGAAGTCTGGGAGGAGACACGGCCAGGACAGGTGACCCCAGGTGAGACAAGGGACATTCCAGACCATGGGACAACTTCAGTTCATGAAGTGTGGGGAAGATGGAGGAAAGGGGGGGATATTTGGAGTGATGGCACTGGTCTGCCCGAGTCACCATTACGTGGGATGCGGCCCTGCTCTCCTGGAGGTGCTCAGTATGTGCACATGGGAAGCAGGGAATTATTTCCTTGTTTTCTTTTGCTTTCCTATTAAACTGTCTTTATCCCGACCCACGAGTTTTCCAGCTTTTAGCCTTCCAGTTCTCTCCCTGATCCCACTGGTGTGGGAGCGAACGAGGGGCTGTGAGGGGCTTGGAAACCACGACACCATGGAAACCCCTCACCTCAGCGCCCTCCCCAACAGGGCTTTCCTCACGCTCTTCCTTTTAAATCCAGCCCTCCCTGGAGCAGGAGAGGAGCCAAAAGAACCCATCTAAAGGGCAGCTCAGCTGCTGCTCCATCTCCTTTGTGCTGGGAGTGAGCAGCACCATCTCCCCCTCAGCCCACCCTGGTCTCCTCACCCTCATCTCCTCCTCTTGGGGTTCACCCACAGCCAGAGGAGAGCTAAGGGGGTTTGTGGTACCCTCAGAGAGAGTATAATGGCTTTGTGCACAAAATAACACCCATAAAACACCCCAGGGAAAGATTCCGTGCTGGGCCAGGTCACACCAGACACCTGCAAGATGCACTTTTGCATTCTGGCCTTACAGACATGAAGATATTCTCAAGAATATGAAGTTATTCTCAATATAAATCTATTCTCAAGCAAGGAGCAAGCAATAGGTTGCTAATTAAGAATCTGGCCACGAAAGTAAATGTAGCCTGAAGCAGAAAGGCCCTGGGGTTCATCTTCAGCTGTTCCTGCACTCGAACCCTGGGGATTTCTATAAATGTTTACTAACCCTCACACACACTGATCACAGCCTTTATGTGGTCCCAGGGGACAACTAAGAGCAGGCAACACTCACTCTGGGTGTAACTACAGCCCCAGAGCAGCCTTTCCAACTCCCTGGCTTTATTTACTTGTTTCTGGAGCAAATTTCACCTGCAGTCCAGTTTCAGTTGCAAACCCAAAATACACTCTTCCAATTTCCCACTTTCAGGCTTCGAGAGCTCTCGCAGATGTACCACAACAGCTGCTCACAGGCTTTCTGAGGCACGTTGGTTCCCTCCCTCCCAACCACAAGACTCATCTGCCAAAACGGGGATGGAGCTGTCGATTCACAGCTGCCCCTTTTGGTGCAAGGTTTTGGACAAGGGGGGGTGTGACCCCCTGGAATTTTTACTGTCCTAAAACCTGGGGTTTATGGCTGTTTAAGGCCCTACCTTTGTATTTATGGCAGATGTTGCATTTCACCTCCACCTGATCAGGAGAAAAAGGGGTGTGAGATGATGAACGAAGTCAGCAGCACCTGTGATTTTTCACCATGTTCCACCTGTGGCTGGAGAAACCTTCTACTAAAGCTTTTGCCAGACTGCTGGGATTTCAAAGGGCCCTTTGTTGTCATTTCTGATGAAATTCTCAACCTTCTCAGCTATCAAATGTTCCTTATGAGAAAGGAAGAGATGCAGAGGGAAAGACAAGATCTCCTACTCTCACACCCCCCACAGAAAACACGCTCAGGCTCCATTCAGGTCCTTTTCCACTCTTAAAACTTGAAGGACTCAGACAGTTTTGGTCTCAGGAGATAAAATTTCTTTTATTACGAACATAAAAATTACAGTTTTCATTCTACTTCTTTCCCCTCCCCAGCGAGGGATTTTCTCATTGCGAAAAAAGCTTAATCCAAGTAAAAAAAGATAGAACTTTTGATATATACATAAATACACAATGTCTCTGTACACCTGTCATTCTGTACAACCAAGGCACCAGCAGAAGTGACAATGGCACACGCAGAGGATTTTTGAGAGATCTAATTTCAGACTGTCTGTCAGAAACACCTCCATTCTCACTGAAATAATTATTCCCTTTTCTCTTCCTCCTCCCTGGGTGGTGGGGGAAGAGGGAAGCCTGGGAGGATCCTCTAACTGCATAGAGGTGAACGTGAACACCTGGGGATCCTTGGGAGACTGGACCAAACCACAGGAGTCTTTTGTCAAAAAAATTTCCAGTATTTTCCCTAAGAAAATGTTGAAGGAAAATTAAAGCAAAGCCCTCCAGAACCAGCTCATAATTACAACACTCCCCTCATCAGCCGTTTTCACTGCTGAAATAAAGTCTTCTGCTCAGGGGAAATAAAAGGGTGAAAAAAGAGGAACTTCTGTTGATAAAAGCACATATTTGAGAATGGATAAAATGAAAGAAATGTGATCACTAGCACAGCCTTGCAGCCTGCAATCAATGCAGCTTTATTCCATATTCCAAGTTCCAAAACAACTGGTGAAGGCGTGAACTCTCCAAGGGCTTGTGCTGAGTTGAAAGCAACAACAGAACTGAAAAGCAGCCTGAAGCAGCTGTGAAATGTTGCCAGTCCTTCTGCTGGAAAGTGATCTCAAAGCAGGGCAGGGTAAACACCACACTTAAGAGCTTTTAAGTCCCAAGTGCAGCTGCAGTCAGCAAAGTGAGAATAAAATGCCAACTTAGCTCTGTATTTACACTTCACTCCTTGCTGACACATCAGACACCTTGAGTTTATAAAAGAAAAGTCTGTTTGTTTTTACCTGCCAAGAATGCAAAGAAAGAAACCTCCCTGGGTTTCTTCTGTCTCTGTTAATACACATTCCTCGGAATTAAAGCCTGGCAGGGTTGATGGCAAAGTTTCCTTTCCTGCCTGCCAGGCAGCCACGCACCAGTGATGCCTTTGTGTTCTGCAGAGCCTGCAGGGCAGCAGGAAAAACCTGCTGTGCCCCAGCTCCAACCCTGGTGTCCCCCAGCTCTTCAGAGAGTCAATCCTGCCCACAGTGGAAACAAAGCACAGTCCTCCCAGACAATCCCACCTGTGATCCCTTCAGTGCCTTTAGGACAACTGACCATCGGCCATTCCAAGGCAGCAGGAGAGCAAAGGGGAAGAGGGAGCACTGGAAACCAGGATGAGAGTGGAGTTCACTCTGCAGAGACCGTTCCTGGGCCACTCAGTTGGACTGCCTCTCCTGAACCCTCCTTCTCTGAGCAGCCAGAGGAGCTCCAGCCCCACCTCACTTCTTCCTGCGGATTTTGGGCTTTTTCACTGGCCGGAGGTAGGGATTGTCTATCACATTCTCCTCCCCATTCCTGCTGCCTGCCAGGGAGGTGTTCTGCTGTAACACTGAGGCGTTTTCCTTCTCAGGTCCTGAATCATCCTGTACAAAAAAAACCACAAACCCAAACAACCAGAGTTACGCAAAACAAGGCTTAGAAATCTTTCTGCCCAGAGGAGCTGTGGCTGCCCCATCCCTGGAAGTGTCCAAGGACAGGCTGGACGGGGCTTGGAGCAACTTGGGATAGTGGAAGGTGTCCCTGCCCGTGGCAGGGGGGTGGAACCAGGTGATGTCTGAGGTCCCTTTCAACCCAAACCATTCCATAATTCTACATTCAAACCACACAACCTGTGGGCAGAAGAGACAATCAACAGCAGCACACAAGGAGCTGCATTAAGGGTGAGGCTTCCTGATTTCTAGCACAAGAAGATCCCTTGGGGAAGAACCAGGTTTGAAAAGCTCAGGCAGCAGGGCCCAAGAGCTGTCTCAGGGGGCTGTACCGTGCTCATGTGCAGCGGGAGGTTCTCAGTGTCCGTCTGCTCGTCCTGCTCCGACGAATCCGTCTCTTCCATCTGCTGCATTTCCAGCTCAGAGGGGAGAAGAGCTGTCAGGTAGGGGACAGTGAAAGGCCTGGCAGCAATCACTGGAGTCAGGGAAAAGGCCACAGTCAGCGAGCTGGGAGAAAACCCCTCCCCTCAAAAATTAGGAAGCACAAAGAGAACGAACACTTTCGCTGGTTCTGGCTTAGAACACACACCACCTCTTCCTGCTGCTCCCAGGGATCAGGAATGAAATATGCTGTCCCTACAAGATGGCAGTCTCTAATTTCCTACTTTCTGAGGCCCCTTTATGTTTCCAACATTATTCCAACACGAAAAATCCCTCCTGACCTCCACAAAAGTTCCATTATGTCACAGGCTGAAGCATCACTTGGTCCCCCTTTCAGTTAACACTGACACCCGTGCTGTCAGTGAGCCTTGGGAAGGTGGGAATTCTCAGCACTGCTTTGCAGTCAGAGAAACAGGAAAGCCTCCACTACCACTAAAATGTCAGAGACAAGAAATTATTTGTTCCAAGGTTACAGGGAGTGGAGTCAGGACTGGGATGAGCTTTGAATTGAGCCCCTCTCAGCCTTCTCCACGAGCAGAAGACAGTGAGTCATAGTGAGGGTAGAAGCCTTATTTTAGTTTTCATACAAAATTCAAATACGAATTTGTATTTTTAAATACAAAATTCCTCATTTCCTTCAGGGAATAACACAATGTGATCATTCAGAGCTCACTCCCTGCAGCAGCAAGAACCCCAATGTGGGGGGGGATGCTCAGGGACACACATTTAGGGCACAGAGAGTCCTGGAAAACTCACGTGGGAATGTGCTGACGTCATCCTTGAAGAGGCTCTGGGTCTCCCCTGTCTTGGCCATGAAGCGTGTGAGGGCCCTTTCCACATCCCGCCGCTGGGAAGCCGCCTTTTCCCTCAGGACCTGGTAGTCGGACACGGGCTCCCGGTACGTCTGTGGAGCAGGGAGGGAAGGAAGGGAACAGCTCACGTTCAAAACACTGCAAGGCTGCAGGAGCTACAGGCAGGCTCTGACCTCTGCTCCTGACAGGCTTTTGGAGAGCTACAGATGTCCATCAGCCAGAAATCCAGGGATCCTGGCTGATTTCTGGACAGCAAGGGATGTCCACAACCCAAGGAACATATAAACCAGGAGAAGCAATATTTTGGATGGACAGTACCAGCACTGCAGTCAAAACACACCACTCCTGCTGTTCTGGACTCCAGACAGCCCCCAAACAGCACAAAAATCCTGGTTTCACTCACCGGCGTCTTGATGTAAGTGTGGGGATCTGGGAACTCAGGGAAATGGCCGGGAATGTGGGAGGGGTGAGGCTTGTTCTGTCCAGCTGTCAGGGCCTTGGGGGTCACGGGCTGGTTTGTCACAGGAGCTACAGGAGTTAAAAAGCACAGAAATCAGGGGGGTTCCTCCTGCCCAGGGCCAGGCACAAAGTGCTGCTGCTGAGCTGGGACCCACATTCCCAGGCCCTGCCCAAGCACATCCCAGGAGGCTGTTTGGCATCCCAGAGGGGAACAGGGATCACTTGGCCCCTCCCTCCCATACAAGGAGAACAAAACCATCCTGAGGACTCTGGTGTGCAGTGAGGACACTGGTGAGAAGTGACTCTTCCTGCACCTATCACAGGGTCACTACCAAACTGCACTTCCAGGAGCTCTGGAATGAGTCATCCCTCTGGAAGCCAGCAGAGAGGAATGCCAGATTATTCCCGGCTTCCTGTGCAGCAGAAAGGATTTCCCACGTACGGGCAGTGATGACCATCCTCTGGGAGCGCTTGGCATACGCAGGAAGGGTTTCAACGTTGAACCCTGGAACACAAAAGAGGAAACAGGAATCACACCAGGAGTTTACCCTGGCCAAAAATCCCTTCTTTCAGGCTTCTCCAGAATTTTTCCCGGGGCTCCAAAGGGCACGAGAAGGAAAACCATGCACTGTATATATTCACACTGCACCACACACCCTGCACGAGGCTCAGGGCTTAGAACACAAACCCCAGAGACACAGGGGACAGATTTTCCTACCAGCACAGCACATCCAAAGCTGGAATGAGCAGGAACAGCCAACTACTCACCCATTTCCACCAGAGTAACCACGATATCCGAGAGTGTGGGCTGGGTCCTGGCTGTGTGCTCACAGTAGGACTTGGCACTCCTTCCAATTTCTGAGATATCTGGGGGGACAAAACCACCACATATTTGATTCTTACAGTGCCCACACTTGTATCAGCCCAAGCCCAGCTTCAGGGGTTGGAATTTTTAACAGATATGGCAAGGAATGAGAAACAGCTCCCAGAATGGAGCATCCTGCAACCTGGGTATTTAAAATTTGAGCATGGAGACATTAAAGACTAAAGAGTCAGATGTTCTCCACAAATGCAAAAGGCAAATCTGCATCACAGGCATGGGAAAAAAAAAAAACAACAGCCAGAAGTTGATTATTTCTTGATTTCATAAAAATAAGTGGGTTCTCAGCATGTCACCCAGAAAGAGAGGAACAGAGGCACTCCATGAACCAGTGGCTGGAATTTTGTTGTTCCTCTGTTATTCTGGCAGCATCTCAGCACGTGGAGCCTCTGTGAGTATCTGATGAGTACTCACTGAGTAAGACAAATACATATTTTGGAGCTGGGGCAAACCCAAAGTGTCACAGAGGTGACTCCAGGGCCGCGCTCCAGCCACCAACACTCCTGAAACACCCTTTAACACCAGATAACAAAAACGGGGAAAAAACCCCAACAAAGAGTGAAGGAGCAAAGGGCAGTGTGAGGAGGGACAGGGGCACTCACAGCTCTGGATCATCTCGGTGAGCGTCTCCACCGCCGCCTTCTCGGCGCTCTCGAATCCCGCCTCGGTGAGCAGGGAGCTCACCACCACCTGCAGCGTCCGCCGCCGGGCCAGGTGGTAGTTGTCGGCCGGGGTGCCAGCCTGCTTGCTGCCAGGGCGCTGCCACACCGGGAACGGGCCTCAGCGGCACGGCGGGCACCTCCCCACAGCGGGAAGGCAGGGAGCAGGGAATGGGAAGGGACAGGGAATGGGAAGGGAATGGGAATGGGAAGGGACAGGGAGGGGACAGGGAATGGGAAGGGACAGGGAGGGGACAGGGAATGGGAAGGGGCAGGAACAGGGAATGGGAAGGGACAGGGAGCAGGGCATGGGAAGGGACAGGGAATGGGAATGGGAAGGGGCAGGGGTCAGGGAATGGGAATGGGAAGGGACAGAGGACAGGGAATGGGAAGGGGCAGGGGACAGGGAATGGGAAAGGGCAGGAGCAGGGAATGGGAAGGGACAGGGAGCAGGGCATGGGAAGGGACAGGGAGCAGGGCATGGGAAGGGACAGGGAGGGGACAGGGAATGGGAAGGGGCAGGGGACAGGGAATGGGAAAGGGCAGGAGCAGGGAATGGGAAGGGACAGGGGACAGGGAATGGGAAGGGGCAGGGGACAGGGAATGGGAAGGGGCAGGAGCAGGGAATGGGAAGGGGCAGGGGACAGGGAATGGGAAGGGACAGGGAACAGGTATTGGGACAGACCCAGGTGTAGGTAATGGGAAGGGTTTGGGAACAGTAATGGGAAGGATCAAGAGCAAGTGATGGGAAGGGGCAGGGAACAGGTGCTGGGAAGGGTCTGGCAGCAGGTACTGCCCTGGCACCCCCAGGGAATGGGGACACGGGTGGGCTGAAGGACTCAAGGGCAGGAACACACGCACATGTACCTCAGCATGGACACACGTGCACACACATGTGCACACACATGTACACACAAGTACATGTAAATCCCCCCCGGCCGCCTTTGGGCCGCGGCCCCTTTAAGAACCCGCCGCACGCGCCAATCAAACCCCGCCCCCCTCCGGGCCGTTCAGCCAATCAGCGCCTCCCTCCCTGGGGCCATCGCCCCCACTCCCCGCGGCCGGACCTGGGCCTGCCCCGAGCCCCGGGGGCACCGGGCACTGCCGCTCCGCCCGACCCCGCCGCCGGCCCCGCCACTGCGGCCCCGAGCCCCGGGGACGAGCCGCCCTCACCGTGCCGGAACCGCCGGACGCCGCGTCGGCCATCTTGGAGCCATGTGGAGCTGTGCGCATGCGCCAGAAGCGGTGCGGGGACGGGCGGGCGCGCGGGGCACTGTGGGAGTTGTAGTTCGGGCAGGGAGGGAGCACGTGGGCGGTGGCAACAGCTGGATCCACCGGCACAGCTGGATCCCTGCACACCTGGATGGCACATACACACACCTGGATCCCTGCACACCTGGATCCCACACACACACCTGGATCCCACCCGCACATCTGGATCCCCCCATCCAGTCCAACCCCCCTGGAGCAGGTGACACAGGGATGTGTCCAGGTGGGGTTTATAATGATGATAATTGGGTGTTATAATGTCCAGGTGGGATTTATTGTGTCCAGGTGGGATTTATAATGAAGACGGTTCAGCTCTAGGGCACAGGGACCTCGAGGTTTTTTCCAAGTCAGCAATGTCTGCACAAACACTCCTTCTGTCCCTCTGCCCCATCGACATCCTGATTTACTGCGTCCCTAAGGCTTGTTAATTCCGGGATGTCCTGGAGCCAGGGATGGAACTGCTGCCTGTGCCTCTGAGCAGCTTTCCCTTCCTGCTGGTTAGGCTTGAAAGCACACAAGTTCTTCCATCAAAGAACATCCTGACTCGAGCCAATCCTGTCATATTCCACGTTGTGCAGCAAGCCCAGCCCCTGCCTCTGCAGGGTGACCGAGAACACAAACCTCCTACCCCGGCATCACGATCCCACTCGGAAATTATTTACTAAACCCCCTTCGGAAGCCCCAGGAGCCCTGTAACCATGGGAGCAGCGAGGGTTTCCTGTTGTAAGTACTGTGTGTTCTGAGCTGCTCCTCGGTGTGACCGCCTCGTGTACTCACGCGTCCGTGATCAAAGCTCTGCTCTCACCAAAGTGTTTCACAAAGACAGCACAGGAAACCACCCCCCCCAGCTCCCACCCCTCGCTTCCTGTTTTAGCACATGTGTGGGAGAGCAAGAACAGTGTGAGAACCAATTGCTGCCCGTGAGAGGGAGAGGGGAAAAAAGTGATGTAAACAACAGCTGCCACGCTGGGAATTAAAGGTCCTGAGTGCACTGGGGCTGGGTGGCAGCACAGCTCCCACAGGCTGCTGGTCCTCACCTGCAGGAGCACCAAAACCCCTGCAAAGACAGGGAGAGGAGGAGGCAGAGGAAGGGGGAGGTTGGATCGTTCCAGGCAAATGCACCTGCTGGAGCAAAGAAAACTTCTTGATCACCAAAGGTAGGAGGCAAAGTTGTTTCAGGGGCTGCCAATGTGCTGAGGGGGGAAATCTGCCTTCTGGGTTCAGGGATGACAGAGCTGTGGGCAGGGCTGGTGGGGCAGGATTGTGCCAGGGATGTTCAAAATTCCCTGGAATGGCTGGGGGGGGGATCTGGAGGTCTGGCTGTGGTGTGTTCTGCCAGGCTGTGATGCCACCCTGTCCCCTCAGCAGGGAGGGGTTTGTGTGCCAGGGCTGGGGGTGCAGGGGCAGCCCAGCGTGGGCTGAGGGGATGGAGAGCTGAGTTTAGAGGTAGGAACACACAATCCCAGACTGGTTTGGGCGGGAAGAGACCTTGAAGATATCCAGTGCCACCTCCTGCCACGGGCAGGGACACCTTCCACTAGCCCAGGTTGCTCCAAGCCCCGTCCAACCTGGCCTTGGACACTTCCAGGGATGGGACACCTGTGCTGAGACACTGAGCCCTCCAGCTGAGGAACTTGAGGTGCTTTCAGAGCTGATAAAAAGCAGCAGCTGACACTGAAATACTGCTGTTGGTGGCTCAGTGCCCTTGGAAAGCTCCCCCAGAGCAGTGCTGTCCGTGTGGGATCAGCACAAGCAGGGTACCCCCAGCCTGGCAGAACTCCCCCAGCCCTACAGTGATGGTACAACATCCCTGGTGTGGGTGTGTCGTTCTTCCCTCGTGCACAGCTCTCCTCTGACTGATGGGGTGGGAAGAGAAAACGTCCCCAGAGGTCCAGTGACGGTGATTGAAGGGTTTGAACCTGTCTCTCAAGGGCTGTGAAATCAGTCAGCTGGCAGCAAAATGAACAATGCAGGGTGGGGACAGCCTGTGTGCCTTCCCATGAGGTGTTTTCCCAAAGGCTGGAACCTTTCCCCTTGTTTCCCATTTTAGCAACAATAAAACCCCTTGAACACTGGTGTCAAACCCAGAAAGGGAAAAGTTTGTGTGGTTTAACCCAGAATTACAGGCAGATGATTTAAAAGGAGAGGCAGGAGCTGGTATTCCCAGGTGCTCTGGCACTGAGCAGTTGGGTGACCCCAGACAGAAGAACATTCACCTTGCTGAGATAGAGCTGAACAGTTGTTTCTGTACATACAGTCCTGGGGGGAGCTGTGACGCTGCTGGAAATTCATCTTTTAAAAGAGTATGATGGGAACCGATGACTTTTTGGGTAGGGAGAGCCCAAGACTCCGTTATTTTTCGAGCAGGGGAGATGCTCAGCACAGCAGAAGAGCCCACAGGAGGCTGGGGGTGTGACCCTGATGTTTGAAAATCCCAGCTTGGAGAGAGGTGGGTGATTAGATGGGAGTCACTGAGCTCAGCGCAGGGGGGGAATTTTGCAGCCTGTGTCAGGAATTTTTCAGAGTAAAGCTTGAAGAGGTTTATTCCCATGTCCTTCTGAACTCCCACTGTGCCCGTGGCTTCCCGAGATGTGCCCTGGTTGGAGCAGTTGGTCCCGGAGGAGGCAGGTGCCCTCCTGCCCGGGTCTGTCCCAGCCCTGCTGCCACCAGAGGGCACGTGGTGACCACGATGTCCTCATTTCTGAGCCACCTCGTTCGGCAGCCAAAATCACCCACAGTGAAGTCACGAAGATTCTCCTCCCCTCAGCTGCCACCAAAAGCTCCTCTGAGCCCCCCAAATTCCTTGACTGACCAGATCTGGGGGGGTTTGTGGTGCAGTTTGATAAGGACAAACACTTGACAGGCAAAGGAAGCTGCTGCTGCTGGGCAAGGAGGGAATAAACTGCTCCTCTGAGAAGGATTTGAGGTTTTTCCCCTCTAAGGACATTGGCCTGTGCCTTGCAGGGATGAAAACTCAACCACAGGGAGGTTACAGCCACGTTGGGGCTGCTGGTTCTTGTTATTTCGTTTACAGTTTTGAGGAAGTTTTTATATTTGGGGAACATTGTTTGTTTGTTTGTTAGTCCAGAGCAGCAGTGGTGTTGTTGTTGGCAATGTACCTGGGGGGTTGTTCAAGGCTCTCTAAGTAAAACATTTCTTGCCGGGTTTGTTGTTTGGTACAGGAGGCTGATCCAGAAAGGATTTCCCAGCGAGGTGTGGGGGTGTGGATAAACTCTCTGGATAGTTCTGAGAGGTCCCTTCTGGAATTTAGACTCAATTTCCAAAAGATGCAACAGGCACAGGGAGTGGAGGAGAGTTTCCAGAGTGCAAAACACCTCTCAGGGTGTGAGTTAAGTGTTCCAGGGTGGAATTTTCAGAGTAAAGCTTGGAGAGGTTTAGTCAAACCTCCAAATAACCACGGGGAGAAGGTGTCTGTGGTGGAGGCTCTTTGATCTCACAGAGACATAACAAGATCCAGGTGCTGGGAGTGCAGAGCAGCACTGTGAGAGCAGGAAATCAGCTGCATCCCTTGCAGGGGAAGGGAATTGGGCTCCTGGAGGGTGCAGCGTGCTCCCAAAATGCCAGGTCCACAGGAAAACTGCCTGTCTTTGGAGAGTGTTGTTGTTTATGGGCAGATAAACTGGACAGATGTTCCCAGCCAGTCCCAGCTGGGAACTGGGACTGTGTCTGTGCTGGAGTCTGACCCCAGAGGGTCCCCACTCAGCTCCCCCCACCCCGTGTCTCCCTCAGCAAGTCTTGCTCCATAAGGATGAGCCTGTAGGAGCAAGGAGGTCCCAGGAGCTCTGTCTGGCCGGGCTGGGATGTCAGAGCATCTTTCCTGCTCCCATCACCCGTCCCTGGGGTGATTGGTGTTTGCTGGGCCTTTTATTTCAACATTCAACCGACGTGCAAACTGTCCCTTCCCACTGCCCCCTGAGTCAGGGCCATATCTAATCCTCCAGGCATGTCACCCCCACTCCAGGCTGGGCAGAGCCTCTGCTGTGGATCTTGCTCAGCTCCTCCTGCCTCCCCAGTGACTCAGGGGATGTTCTGCTCCTCCTGTCCCTCTGCCCCAGCTCTGGGGTCCAAAGGTGATGAGGAGATGGGTTAAAGCTGCTTTTGTGCAACTGGTTTCGCGTGAACTTTGTTTTCTGAGGAAATTCCGAGGTGTTGTTTTGCTGAGAGAACAGGCAGAGGAGCCCTCCAGGTTTAGGGGGTGCTCCCCAGGGGAGATTCCTACAGAAAACACGACTGGTCCTCACATTCCCCCCCATGCTGGATGGGATAACGAGGTCTCTGCTTGGTCTCATCTGCAAACTGTCATTGTGACTTCCCATCCTGGCTTTGGGCAAACTGCTGCTGCTTTGGCCTTGCCAGATGCTGGATGGAACAGCCCCTGCTGCAGTCCCTTGGGATCAGGGATGCTCTGAACCATCACATCCCCAGCAGTGTCAGGGAGAGCTGGTGGCACGTTTGGCACAGCCAGGACTGGCCTGGCCCAGCCTCTCTGCCTTGTGCAGGGGTGATGATGAGCTGGCCCCTTGGGGGATCCTTCAAACCAGCTGGAGGGACTCTGGGAGAGGGGACACTGCCTCTGCCTCATCCCTGGCATGGATTGAACCCTCCTCTTCTCACTCACTGACTGAGCAGGTGCCGGTACAAGGTGTGGTCACAGCAAACCCAAATTATCCCTCTTTGCTGACCTCTCTGGCCACACGGGGCATATTTTGCCTGGGGCCATGAGCCCATTCCCCACCTCAGGGGGGACCTGCCTGTATTTAAATGTCATTTGCAGAGGCTCAGAGGTTCGGGCTGTCAGAGGAAGTGCTGCACACACAGAGGGCACCCTCGGAACGCAGATGGCAGTGAAGCCAGGCCAGTGCCTGCTGCTGCACACCCCTCTGGCTCACACCTTGCCAGGCGAAGCCCCCTGTGCTCCCAGAGAGCTCCATGCTGTGTGTTCCCGTGGGATTGTGCACAGAGAGGTGCTGGTGGCCCCAGGGGGGTCACATTTCCCCCCCTCCCGGAGCAGGAGCCTCACACAGGGCACTCCCCACGCTGGGGTTTCTCTGCTGGCTGTGCCAAACCCCACTGGCACTGCAGGAAACCACAGCCAGGGTGGTGCCTCCTCGGGGCAGGCGCGGGGGAAGGAATCCTGCTGCTCCATGCACAGCCCTGGATGGGGATGGGGGGTGGGATGGGCTCTGGGCAGCTCCCACATTCCCCCTGGAGCATCCAGGGCCAGCTGAGTCATTCCTGCAGCAGATCATGGGCTGACCTGGCTTTGCTTCCGAGCAGAAGGACGTGAAGGTTTGGGAAACTCTGCTGAGCCGTGGTGGTGTGCCCGTGGGTCCTGTCTGAGCATCTCTGAGGGGCAAGGAAAGGGTTTGGGGGGGTTTGAGGAGCCTCAGACTTGGACATGGCTGGTAAATCCTCCCAGGTTGGACTCGGGGGGTTGGGGGATGTGGTGCAAAATTCCTCTGCTGCTGGGAACTGAGCAGAGCCTTGGAGGGCCTGGCTCTGCTCGTGGGCTTTGTGTCTGACAGTGACCTTCCCTTGCTGAGGGTGTTCTTACCCACCTTTGAAATGGGATGGGGGGAAACAGTGAAGAACCAGCAGTGGTTTGACTGGAAGAGTTGCAGAGTTGGGCAAATGCTTGGAGTTACAGGAGGGGGGTGACAATAACGGGGTTGAGAGGGACAGTTGTCACCTTTTCTTGCCCATTAAATCTGTCATTTTAATCTACTGGTGTTTCTTAGCAAAGCACTTTGAGCAAATGCCTGTATCCACAAATCTGAGCCCAGAGGCTGATGAAAGGCACTTTTTTCTTCCCAGTGGGATCCTGGAAATACAGAAGCAACAGCAATGGATGAAATGTAGGGACTTGTGTGAACTTATTGGACCTTCTCAACAGCTCAAGCTGAGTTTAGAGCTCGGGTTTGGACCGATTCTTGTTTGATCAAATCAGCTCCTTGTCCCCATTTTCAGATGAAATGAAAATTGTCCCTATCAGGGCAAGAAGCTGATAAAAGATTCTTCCTAAGAACAAAGCCCGTGGTTGATTCATCTGTGCTCAAAAAAAAAAGGATCTTCAGGGAAAGGGGAGGCTTCTTGGAAAAAAAATCCTGAAATAGGCTGTTGGGAAAGTGAGGTTTGT